AACAAGGTAGATTGATTAGGTGGCAATTACACCTAAAACACTATCAATTTGATGTTGAACACATAAAAGGTGATAAAAATTATCTTGCTGATTGTCTAACAAGGGAATTTACAGGTATTTGATTGAAGAAGCAGTTACTCGAACAAGATCATCAAAAAATTGCAAAATCAAAAGCAAAAAGGACCAGAATGGATCTTCAAGTTGAAGAACTAAAATTGGAAATCATGCAAAAGGAACATGAATTGGAAATCTTAAAACAGAAATTGAAGATAATACAGTTGAAAAATCAGACAGAGAAGGGAAGACTCTCAGAGTCTGATAGCAAATGCGAAGCCAAAACCACAACCGAATACAAAGATGCTTTGGTCAAAGATCAACAGACCCAATCAACCTTTATCGAAGATGAAAGGGCACCTAATTGGTACACGGTACACACCGGACCAATAATTGGAGTCTATAATAGCTTTGAGAAAATAAAAGATTTGCCACCTGAATACTACCATACGGCAAAAACTGAATTTGAAGCAAGAATGATCTTTGAAAAGCTAAAAAGCAGAATCACTGAGAGGGTACCAGTATATCGTAACACTGGTATTCCTAAAGAGCATCAGTTGAAAAATCCATTCATAAAATTTGATGAATTCAAAATACAGCAACTGGATAGTAAGTTAATCAAAACTACTATAACCAAAGAAGAATGGCTCACGTTATATGAAGAAGTAAACGCGAGTACAAGTGAACAAGGATACATTCCTATAAGCAGAAATCAACAGATCAAAGCCATTCTGCTACCAGGAGTTGCACCTGAAATAACAAGAGACTTGTTCCTAGGAGGATTCATAGATACCCTCTACCCAGAGAACAGTTTAAAAAAGTTGTCATATTTTCCAAAAATCAAACAAGCGATCGCTTTGTACATGGAAAAATGCAGAATTCGTGAAAACAACAAATCAATCTTGGTCAAGGTCTGGAGTTCAATTCCAGACTGGAACGATGAAGAACAATATCCAGCATACCACTATATTCATGTGGGGGTATCTGGAGAAGTGAAACTACCAGTACCACTGGTACAAGAAAAACCTCCATTGACAGAGGAAGAGCTGAAATTAGAAAGAGCAGATAGAATTTATTTTATCTTGAAAACGTTAGAAAAAATAAATTCATCAAGCCAAATAAAAGTAAATTATTGCAGCCCGAATATACTTCTGGTTAGTAATTTCAACAAGAAAATCGACAAACAAGACTTGGCCATAGTCCAGAATTGGCAGGATA